GGGGGGTGGGGTGGGGTGGGGATATCATTTGTTGAAAAGATTACCCTTTTTCTATTTTTTTAAGCTTTGGGAAAAATCAACTTGCCATATATTCATTTCCAGAAACTGTTCTGCTCTATTGATCTAGTTGGTCTGTGTCGCCTTTGCATTTAATTTTAGAATCAGTTTAGATCTGAAACAACATATACCTAAAAAAAAAAACCCTGCTACAATTTTATTTGAATTGTGTTAAACACTCACTTTACACTATTGAGCTTTCCAATCTATGAACAGAGACTCTCTTTAGATATTTGTCAATTTCTTGCATTGCCATCTTGTAGATTTTGGCAAACAGATCCTGTGCATATTTTGTTACATTTGTATCCAAATTATATCACTTCTTAGGGCTATGGCAACTTGTAATTTTACAATTTTGGTTCTGACTTGTACATTACTAGTATAATAAAATTAAAATAAAATAATTATTTTTTTACATACCTGGAATCCTGCAACCCAGTTAAATTTACCTATTGGTTGTAGGATTACAGAAAAGAAAAAGAAAAAAGATTGCTTGGGGTTTTCTTCATAGATAGCTATGTCATCTGTGAATGCAGACGATTTTATTTCTTCCTGTTCAATTCATATGCTCGTTTCTTTCTCTTGCCTTATCGCAGTTGGTAGCACTTCAGTACGATTCTGAGTAGGAGAAGTGAGCGTGGCCATCATTGCCTGATCTCTGATCTTAAAAGAAACACACATAGTATTTCACCATTCAATATGATATTCGTTACAACCCCTTTGCAGTTGTCCTTTATTCGTTTGAGATTATACCATTCCGTTTCTAATTTGCTGAGACTTTTTATCATGAATAGATGTTGGATTTTGTCACAAATGAAAAGAACATGTGGTTTGCTATTTTTAGCCCCAAAGTCTCTCAAGTCTCTTTCAGGTTGTGTTGAGTTCCGAATGGGGGCTATCAAAGGGGTAAAGGGCAAAGTCACCATGAATTCAGTAGTACTTCAATTTCTCCACTCTCCCCTTGCTTGCTTGCAGCAATTTAACTTTTCAGAGTCCTCAAACAGCACCCCATGCGCTCTGTCCCTGTTTTATAATTGCATTCAGTCAGAGCAGCAAGGTGGAGTGCTTACACCATTTCCCCTAGAACTGAAAATGCCTCCCAGTTCAAGGTGAGGGCCTGGGACCTGATAGCTGGGGTCACCTTTTTGTTTTTCCCAATGCCACTACCACCGTCACTCCTCCTTTTCATGGGTTCCATAGGGATCTTCTGCAGCTGGGCTTGAAGAAGCTTTGCATATTGGCACTTCCAGAAATAGACATATCCCCGGCAGCTAAGAGCATTCTTTTTCTTTAGAGATCAATTTCTGCTATGTGAGAATTAGCAGTTGGTTCCGAAGGGGATACTTAGTGAGTTCAGCCTTTGAAGCATCATGTTCAAATGTGGTGCCAGTTGTCCTGGAGGACCCTGGTTAGTTTTAGGAACTTACATTCGGGGCCAGACAGAGAGTTCTAGAGAGGACTGGGTCCGTTTCTTATAAGCTCACCAAGACGGAAAGCATGTGCCCCTCTCTCCAGGCTGTTGCGCACACATGCTCTTGGACGCTTTCGGATGCTCAGAGGATTTGGTCCCAACTTTCACTGCTCTGCCAAGAAGTCAGGGTCAACCTGAGGGAGACAGCCTGCTCATGCACTTGAAGTAAAGTTCTGCTTCTCCCTGTCCAAGGCGCCAATGCCTTTGCAGACTTGAGGGGAAGGGTAAACAGACAGGAAGCCTGATATTGAGAGCCCCGTCCTTTCCCTATAGACTTGCCTGAACCAAAGAAGCCTGGTAATACAAGGGCCTGTCTTTGGGATAAATCTGAAAATTACAGCGAACATGGAAATAGAGTGGGTGGGTGGCTCAAATTGAATGGTCATTGTGCGCCAGGCTGGTTATCTCTCCATTTGTTATACAATAAAAGAGGATCAGATAAACACAGGCATAACCTCTGCGTCCATTGATAATGTAAATCATCCCTTGTATCATTTGTCTTCCCTTCAGGCTGGATACAAAAGGCACAGAAATGAACAATTCATGCCTAAACACGGGCGAGCTTGAAAGGCAGCGCATGTCAGATGTTTATTCTTGGTCCATCATTGAGGGGCTGAGCGGATTTGCTTACAAGCAGAGGCTATTCTGTCAGGGTGGAGGGGCCAGCCCGTGTGTTGCTGTGTTTTTTACAGAGCAGGCACGTTTCTTTTTAAAGACACATTGCAACTTTTTTTTTCTGCCATGCGCTGTAAGTAATAGAGATAATTCTTGGTCTAGAATATGAAATGTTGTCTCCTGGGCAGTGCAAAGCATTATGTGCTGTGGAAACAATGCTTTTTTCTCTCCACTGGTGTGCAAATGTCATTTTTCATTACCCACCCAGTGGGAACTAGTTGGAGAGTGAAACGGGGGCAGGGCTGCCCTGCCCACAGATGGACACACACGCACGCACGCACACACACACACACACACACTCACTCACACACTCAGGGAAGACCAGCAGGGAGTCTGAGGAGGGCACCCGCAGGAGCTCTCCCCACCACGTGGTTGGAAGCACAGGATCGGTGACAGCTGTCGTGTGTTTGCAGGTTAGCCAGGGCCACCCCCCCTTCTCTGCTGAGGGTGCTGTGGGTGGCGGTGGGTTTTCCCACCCAGGCCAACCAAAGGCCGCTCAAGAAAAAGTGCCAAGACAAACAGAACGAGAGCCTTGGGGAGCCGATAATGGGGACAGAGCGTGAGTGCGGTGATCCCTCTTTTGATTTGTGCTCCGATATGTTTCCTATTTGCTTTTGCACACAATGCACATTTCCCCTCTGGATTGCAGATCATCTGAGCCAGGGTGAAACCATTCCAAAGTGGCCTTCAAACACCAGGTCTGTGTTGGAATGGAATTACTGATCAGACATTAAAATGCGGAAGCGGGGGACTCGGGTAAATTACACTGGCGTGGTGCTTTCAAAAAACCCACTTGGGGGTGGCTTAAATATCTTTGCTTTCTTGGGCACGTCCCATCCACTTCTCTACCCGCCCCGTCTCTCCCACCTCTGTTCCCTATCTCTAGATTCTTTATGAAGAAAACAATCATTCTGCACGTTGATCTCTTTTCATTTTGTTCCCATTTCAATGATGTGGTTTTATGCGCACAGTCCAAACTGAGGACATTATTTTTGCCACGTGCCTGAGAAAAGGGAGCTGAGTGAGAAGCCGCTGAGCTGAATTGTGAGCACCCCCGGGCTCTCAGGGTCTCTGCCCCCTATCCAGGGCCAGCGGGGTCGCCCCCTCCCGGGAGCCAGACTTCATTTCCTTACACTGTCCTCAGCATCTCCGCACCCCTCTCTTTAAAGCAGATGACAAGCAAGGAAGTGAGGACAGTGGCGTGGCTGCTTCAGCTGAGCGTCAACCACCCAGCCCAGGAGAGAAGGCAGGGCAGCAGGGTACCGCCGGGCAGAGTTCGGAAATA